CCGGCGTGCCAGACAGACAGGGCAGGCATTAGGATGGCGCTAGATACGGATCGAATAAATTGATCGATGCGAAGCTTCAGATCAGAGGCAGGCATGTACATGTTATTGTACAATGACGCGGATAGTAGGATTACTAAAATGTGAAGTAGTTGATGCTTATTACGTACTATACCTATACAGGGTGATTCAGAACTTACCAAAAAAAAATAATTAGATGTACAGGGGACTTCTACAAATACAATTTTGTAAAAAAAATCAAAAAGAGCAATTCGAAAATGATTTAAAAATACACTTCTGCACGGCACTCGAAACTGGTCCACTGTATAACCTTCAAACAACAAAAACTTCAAAGAATTTCGCAAGTAAAGAAATAAATAAAATTGTATAACACCTATTTTATATCACCAAATTCAACTGCTCTTGCCGCTATTATTATTAATTAATGAAATTAAATCAAATTTTTGTCCACACCAAAGTGTAAACACATTTTGACCTGTCTTACACAGTTTCCACACAAATGTTGTCTTGCTTCACCATAAATTAAAACGATATCCATCAACTCCGAGTTGCTATACACGTAAGCCATTTTTGACACTACTAAAAAACTGGTAAATACTATCGCAATGACGTTAATACTAATTGTAAAATCGGATTTCAGTATTCGGAGTCGCTTGGGCCACGTGGCTCTCCACACGCATTGCGTAAAGCGCACAACGCGATTGACTCTAGAAACTTCAGTTGTCCAACCATGTAGTGGTGGAAAGTATTACATCCTCAATAACTTTTTTTCTCGGAAACTATAAGGATTTTACTAATTTTTTTACGATATTGTGTCCATTTTTCATGCCGCATCTATTCCCAAATTTTTTTGGATAAGTTGTGAATCTCCCTGTATATTTTATGGCAAATTTCATGCAATTTAGGAAAATAGACACTGCCTCTTTTTGTTTCATGCTATTATGGAAATTCTTACATATACTTATATGCTTATAATGTTAAGAATACAGTTATAAGAAAGTAACGATTGTGTCATTTTTTGTTGAATAAAATTGCATAAAAGAGAACTTCGCCTACAGCCAACCCTGTACCACACTGCAACCGTCCTAACATTTCCTATCTCTAGTTCTAACTCATGTGTTTATAAGTTTCTTCTACTATTTTATACTGTCAATTTTGCCAAAGAAAAAAATCAACTCGGCTTAAATCATGTGATCTTGGAGAACAAATTCTGAAGTAGTAGGTATGTGATAAAGAGTGCGATTATGTTTTGATACAGAAGTTAAAATAAACTTTATGTTAAATAAAAAAAGTTAAAAAAGGTATATAACTGTCTTACAGTAGCCACTTATTCCTTTATTACACCACATATATGCGTGAATCTCTGAAATACTTTTTACAACTGATGACTTTGCGGGAAACGACTACTCTGCCAACTACTCCGACCAGTACTAAATTATACTCGTAATATCTAGTAAGCAGCTGAGGTCATTCGACAGTCAAACCACCACACGCAGACAGGTTACGACCTTATTATTCCTCATCAGTGTGACAAAGGTGGGTCAACGATCCAGATATTTTCAGTGTCTTAACTACGCACACGGCGTGAGTGTGGGTGAGATGTAGTAGGGCTGCCAAACTAACGGCCAAACTAACAAAAACTAACCTACTATTTCGAAGACAATATACTGTGCCGCCATAAGCGGAACAATTTTTAATCCGACAACTACTCCACGAATTAATACCCCGTTTAGAATTGCTTTTTTGGTAGCAATACAGGTCTTACTTTCATGGTACTTGAGAAATAAGTAGATCGCTCTCTGCCAGAAGTCTTAGACGTTAAGTAGTAGTTGAAAAGTTTCGGCTCTTTTTTTAAAGATCGATTTCACAACAAAATCAATATGCCTTAAATCAGGCGACCTAGCAGGCCACTCAATAAAAATAAATGAAAACAGCGACCAGGTTTTGGTGCTTGATAAATCGGCGCTGTCAGGTTAGGACAGTTTAGTTAAAAAAAGAAACGTGACAAAACCGATTCGTTTCAATTTCATTGTGTTACACCCGGCGTCGTCGGGGCGCAGATAAATCGGTGGCCATTGGAGTACCTCCGCGATTAATAAATTATCCAATATTTTACCGCCAAAAAAACACGTTTGTACTTATTAGCCGGCATCGGACCGGACGACGCGAGGGCTGTATAAATTCCCTGTTAGAGCCCGTTTGAAATATGAGCTACAACACCCCGCGGCATAATGACCGACGATGTATGTACGTCCGAATTATCCCGCGTTGTTGTCTGCCGCAACAGCACGCAATCGATACGGCATGCATGGCATCTGATCACCCTTACGTCCTAAATGCCCCGCGTCTCGGGGGGCTATAAATTCAGGCAAGGAGCCCTTCCGGTGTTGCGACGCCTCCTTGGCGCTAATCCTAGGGCCGCCGCGGTCCTCGGGCTAGGCACGTAATCCCTTGCATGTTGCTCGATGGGAATTTCATTTCGTCCCGTTGACAATACGGTCTTTTATTTTTCGGAGTATCGGATGCTGGGTACGCACGGAATCGCCGGATTTGGTCCTTATTAAGTCGCGGTCACGCATTTGGCCTAGTTAAGTTGTCGATATAACTTTGTTCACGGATAGCATTAGCAGCGAACGAAAAGACAATTTTACACTGAAAAAAATTTCTCAACCAACATTTGTACCTTGGAGTTTCTCAATAATTATGAAAACTGTCAGAGTATGAACAATAGTTACTATTTACACCATAATGGAGGTAAGTATCATTTACCAGTCGAGGACGATTTTGCGCCCGAGCGGAGTGAGGGCTGGCAATAGAGTCCGAGACTGGTAAATTATACTTAACTGCTGCGTAGTGTATAACATTTTATCTGCGCCCACAGTTCTTTATGGTTCATGAAATAAAGATTAGGTTTTTGTTTTTGACATTTCTTAATCAATTCATTTTGATATTAATCGAAATCTTGCAAAGTTGTCTTGGTTATTTGGATATTGTCATTTCTAAGGTGTTTATAAACAAAACTATATAAAAGTTGCAATTTTGTTGCTTTTGGATTAGTTTTTCTAAATGAGTGATTTTCAAATAGAAAGTGCAGCAAATGCTGCCTACGAATTTAAACTCACCGGCGAGTTTATGGAGTGAATACACAATGATTGAGTCAGCTATTTGCATAGAGGAGAACGTGGATATATATATCTCAAACTGAGAGCATTTTTGAAACGTAAGGATGACAGCTATACACCTAAAAAGTCAAACGTTTTTACAAGAGAACAAGTCAACGATTTTCTCGTTCAGGCACCCAATAACACATATTTGTTAATGAAGGTAGTGGTGGTCTTAGGTATTGCAGGAGCACACCGTTCTGATGAGTTATGCAAACTTACTTCGAACAACGTCAATTTCAAAAATTTCGATGGCATTATTGTAGTTACAATTCCAGATTCTAAAAATGGTATGTCACGTACGTCTACAATTACTTCTCGTCTGTTCTGTTTCTCATCTAGAAATTCTGAAGAAATATATCAAGATTAGATTAAAACTGAAATTTCACGCTTTTTATGCGCTATCAAGCAGGTAGATGTTACAACCAACCAGTCGGCAAGAATTGTACAGTTTTTGAAACTAGAACATCCTGAAACATATACAGGACACTCATTCCGAAGAACATCGGCAACGTTACTGGCTAATACAGGAGTTGATGTATTAGAAATCAAGGAGGGTGGAAATCAGCCACAATTGCAAAAAGTTATGTTGCTGACAGTTTAAGTAACAAAAATGAAATAGCCAACAGGATTCTTGACTCAAAGACACTTGAACTCCAGGTTCTAGTAGTACGTCGCATCAGTAAGACTAGATTGAGCCTCCGGTGACTGAAATGGAGCGGTCAAATCATTTTCAAAAATTTCTGTGCGTATAATTTTTGATCTCTCAATGCATTACATCGTGATTCTCCATAGATCAAAGTGCATATCACAATATTCTGTAAATGTATACATAACTGTATTTTTAAAATATTACAATTGTCAACCCGACACTTTAATTCTATCATAACAAATAATAGAAACCACAGTAACGCCAAGTGCAGATATTTTTCAAAACCACTTGATTAAGCTTGATTAAGCCTTTACGACATTTTTTAATACACTTTAGGATATTCCACTATAGCCAGGAAATAAAAAAATAATAAGTATTCAAGTGATTTGACCAATTTTTACTTTCCTTTTAAACTAGTTTTTAGAAAACTGTAAATAATTTGGTTGATACGGTAGTTGTCAAGTCGCATTAGTTTAATTTAAGGATTAAAAGTTGCTTAAAAACGAAATGCATTGAAATTGGTATATACAAATATCTTGATAACCAAAGAAGATATCGAAGCCGAATTGCATATTTTCAATAAACAAGGTCCGTAATTTTAAACGCAAAAGAAATTTTCCCCTATTTATCAAAGCATGTCGCCACTGTGCAGACGAAAGCAACTGATACTGTACAACTACTTTGCGAACTAATGCCCATGTTAGCAGTAAATTATACAGGAGCAGAGCAGACAAGGTTGGAGAATTATTTACTTGTTTATTAGTTATAAAATTTTAATCTGACGGTTTTATTGGCTCGACAAAAAAAAAATCCAAGACAACAATATCAGACATTTTTAATATAATTTGAGGAAATAATCGCCGATTTATCATTAGCTATTAGATTTGGTTATTACAAACGATTAATATCAAATAAATAACAAATTTGAACAAATTTACTGCTACCGATAATTTTTCTGTAAGTAAACACTTTTCTCATTATAAATAAACATTCTAAATTCAAAAGTGTAGAAGAAATTCTACCACAAAATTGTTAGTAGATTAAACCGATGGCGACTTGACGTTTTTTATTTCAAATTCGCGAGTACTACTGTTATCCTGAAATTCACTAATAATTTTTGTTAATTATATTCCTGAAACTATCAATACTTACTTCCGTTATTGTTTCAGTAATTACCAGTAAGGTGAAGGGCCATGAACACTGCAGTCCTCAGGAACTGATGAACTGCGCCAAGCCCCTCTCAGTCCTCACCGATTCAGGATTGACCTTCGTCTCCAGCAAAGCCGACTTGGATAAAATCTGCCCGTAAGTAAACACTTGCCTCCTTTTCAATTGATTTCAGACCGAAAATAAACGGCGGAACGGCCGGGTTCCGCGGTAATCTAGATGGGGAAAAATATATCTTCCAAACCGAAAACAAGCACCGGAAGGGTTGCTCTGGAATCTACACTGAGAAAACGCGTTTCCTTAAAATTAGCAGAAAATCGAGACAGGGGAAATTAATTATTTACCATATAGAACTTTAGACGTAAAAACATGCACTTAATTCAAACGTAATTATAAAAAACAACACATATGAAGGTACGTACATATCAAAGAAGGATGTGTACACGCCTTAACACGTAAATTTATTGAATACACCATTTTTACATAATACTTTTTTCACGTAGTATTTTGAGGTACTTCTAATATGTATTTTCTTGTTACATACTTGGAATATCAAAAAATATTAAATGAAAGTTTGAATAAGCGTTCCTACTTGTAATTTATGACCGTACCAAGGGGACAAACATAAAACACATACAAACACCATCAATTTTCATTCTTTCTGATAGTTTCGTCTCACATAAATTTGTAACGAAATAATTCCTATAATTGCGGTTATTTGCAATTACCTTACAAAGATAAAACTCAAAAAGTTAGACACATTAGAGGCTAGAAGATAAAAGGGGAGTTTTCGCATTACGCTGGATAATTAATGTGCAGTTTTCTGCAGACCTGCAATTATTGCTCGGCTTAAAAACCGCGGGAAATAAAAAATCAACAGATAAACCGGATTCCCATGCTTAGCGCGGGATATGTCGGAAAGGCACGCTACCATTGGCGTAGTCACATATAGCGAAATTGCATGAAATAATATTTACTGAGATTAAAAAAATGTTTAAACCTTAAAGAACCAGTGCTTCTAAACTGGTTAGGTTTAATATAGTTATAAGTTTCCATTACAAAATAAATTTTTTTGTTATCTTTATTTTTACAACAGGAAAACTGAATGGCACTATTTTGATTATTTTGAAAGATATATTTCTTTCCCATTTTTTGCGTTTTTGGTGCCGATTAATTTTATAAGTATAACAAAATAGTTTATAAACATTTTTATTCAGTTTTTTCCCGTAAAATTGACACGATATTCACGATATCCCAGAAATAAGTACCAAAATTTCAACCACACATTTCATTAAAAGGAAAAACTGTTATCTATTTTTTTTTTCGAATAGTCGTTAATAGTTTTTAAAATACAATTTTTTTTATTTTTAAATTTTTGTTATCTGCTACTATCGTTGAGTTGAGTTGAGTTGGACAAAGAATAACAAAGATGGGAAGTAATTTGTACAAGTATTTAGCTTAGCAAAAAAAATTAAGATAATAATTTATCATTCCATAAAATAATCGCATGTATTACTTAGATATTTCCTTAAACCATAGGCAACTCCTTAGGGTAATTTTTGAAGGATGCAAAATACCTTTGAAAAAATAAAGTTTTCCAAAAAATTTATTAGACAAAAGTTGTCGGTTGTGATAAATTTTTTTGGTACTTATTTCTGTACCGTCCTGTATAATTTACAGTTTTTTTCAGCTAAAATACATATTTGCTTTTTTCGAATAAAACATTCTACATATTTTATTTTAACTAAACTATCATGTGATACAATGAAGCATGTCTAACATTTTTTCTCATCAATATAAATACATCCATTTTTGAAACAGTTGAATTACAATTATAACATACATAGGTATTTGTGCTAGCCGAACTCTTGCTGGACCTTGTTTGACATAAACAACTATGTAGCACAAAAATACTTTATTTATCTAACAATCTTAACAATAACAACAATAACAATTATCAACCCGACAAAGCAGCGATCCGTCCCAACCGACTGCCGAATACTAACTAACTGCCGACTAATTCCTTACATAAGCGTTCTCCACAGTATTAAACAATTTTTCTCGTATATGTCTACAAATAAAAAAAAATGTAAAAAATATAGTAAGATAAGGATGGGATAGCATTAGGATCTAGGAAACGGTAAGAGATACCTGGTGGCTCCAATTAGAAAAGAAGTTGATTTTTTATGCCCAACAATATGCCGTTTAGAAAATTTTAAAATTCAAGGTAGTTCCGGAGATATCCGGAAAAACCCGAAATTTTGCAAAATCGTTTTTTTTCTGACTTTATTTGAAAACGAATTTTATAATAAATTACATATTTACATTATTACTTTTCCGTTCTATCCAATGGCTGCCAACAATTTTGCAATCCGACGTTACGTCTTCGAGGGACCACCATCAGGTTATTTTTTTAAATACATCGCTGCTATTTTTATGACAAAATCTAAAGTCATTTTTAATTCTGAATTAGATGATATTACTATTGTAATTGTAATAATTGTAAAAAGGTTTTTAGCTATCATTTAAAATTTTTCTTGAGTACGGCTCTGAACGCTTTCAAAATATCTAACTGGAGAAAGTCATAACAGTATAAAAGTCAATACAGCACAAAATATCCAACAATTTTTTTTACTACTATTGGCAATACTATTTACAAATAATAAAACATTTCATAAATTTGTATTATTTTTTTATTAGGTACAACTCTTTTAAATTATTATTGATTATAAAAAATGGTTTGACAATACAGCACAAAATATCCAACAATGATGCTCTCAAATGAATCAGTTTTCGCCGTTCAATTTCTCTCGAAACTTGACGGTTGAATAAAATAAATATTTAAAAAATAAAAAGTTATTTCAACACAAACTCGTAAAAGACTCACGTTTCCCTCCCTAAGGCTACGCCATTGACTGGGAGTTACGCGGACCGGACCCCGTAATCCGACTACATAAATTAGAACTATTGTACGGAGTTCGCGAAAGTTTTCGATGCCGATAAAGCCGAAACATTTCATAATTTCCTGAACGTGTATCGCATTATTTCCTACAGCCATGCAAAGCGGGCCGGAATAAGTTATCTGAAGCCGCCATAAATCGCTTAAATTGATTTCGAATACGAATTGTTCCGCGGAGGACGGCCCAACTATAGAAATATACTTGTAAATATGCATGCGCGACGTGCTAACGCGCGAAAGCTGCTTCGCGGAATAGTTGGGCGTATTATCGTATTGCTCCTTAGAGAGAGCGAGACGATTAAACAATACGAAAATTGAAAAGAAATATAGAAAATAAAACAGTTAACTTTGGTGCTAAATTGATTCGTTATAGAACAGCGTTACTTTAGTTAGAGGCACTTTAGCTCAGATTTATCACTTTAGCTCATATATCTGGCATTTTAGCTTTCAAATTTGTCACTCTAGCTCATCGATTTTCCATTCTAACCACGGATTTGTCATTTTAGCTCTTAGATTTGCTGTTTTAGCTCACAGACAATTTTGCTCACGTTTGGCACTTTAGCTCTCATTTGTCATTTTAATCGATAAATTTGTGATTTTAGTTCATACATTTTATATTTTTGTAACTTAACTTTAACTCAGATTTTCCAATTCAACCCATACGTTTAACACTTTAGCACACATATTTGTGACGTTGGATAAGATTTGTCACTTCAATTTACATAGCACCTTAGCTGATTTGTCGCTTTAACTCAGGTTTGCCACTTTAGTTGAGTTTAAGTTTGGTACTTTAGTTTATATATTTGGTATTTTTGTAAAATATACGTCGCTTTAGCTCAGAACTTAGCCCGTATATTTAACACACAGATTTGTTGAGTTAGTAGCTAAAGCGATCTATGTAAAGTTTTAGATTTGCCACTTTAGTTCATATAGCAATCCACAAATTTTCCACTTTCCTCAACTGATTTGTCGCCCAGGCTTGCGACCTTGGTTCATATGTTCGCCATTTTAGCTCACATTGTCATTTCAACCAATATTTGTCACCTTATATATATGTCGTTTTAATTCAATGATTTTCCACTTTAGCCCATATGTTTAACACTTTGGCATCCAGATTTGCCGAGTTCAGTTCACTTTAGCACAAATGTATTTTACCCAAGTGTTTTGTCACTTTAATTCAGATTTTTTTTAACACTTTAGCTCCATATTTCTAATTTTAACCAATAAATTTGCCACTTTAGCGAAACATATTTGTCATTTTTCTCACTTTAATTCACAGATTTCTCACTGTAGCCCACATGACCAACACCGCCATACAGATCTGTTGCATTGACTAAGATTTGTCACTTTAGCTCACAAATTCAGCGCTTAACTATACTACTTTTAAGAGAGGATGTTTTTCACAAATGTGAAGACAGCCCCTGAAGCTACATAAACAAAACAAAACAGTGAACTTTTCGCTACAACGGGTCGATTTGGAACAAATTATAGACAGTGGCTGCAACTGAAATTACACACAACGTTTGCATGTCAGCAACACATTGTAGGAAACTTTGAATGTCCTTAGAGCCAGTTTCCATTCCGCGGCGGTAATAGCTCGGCGTAAGTTATTGTCTTTTTCATATATTTACTCCGCCCCCAAGGACTGGAAAAATTGCAGGTTTGGGCCAGCTACTATATCATTAAGCGTAGTAAACAACCTGAAAATTATTTAAAAGCAACCGCGACTCGCTCCCGCAGACACCTAATTTTATTCGCCGTAGTAACAAGTTACTTTAGGGTACGTACCTACGATTTGTTACGATCCTCACAAAATAACAGTTTCAAAGTACAGTATGTATACAGTGTGTCCCCGGATGAGGTACCGCACTCTTGGAAACTTTTTTATTGTTGATTTTTCGAGAAAGTTATTCTTGATAAAAAGTTTTGCTTATCCTGGGAAGCCATGGACAGTAATTAAATATGTAATGAAACATACAGGGCGCCCAAAAAATTTCAAAACGTTATATTTTTCTTAAGCAAAGTGCCATTAATTTTTGTTTTGTTAATTTTGTTCGAGAAAACTATTCAACTTACTGATTCCAGATTTCGTGTGAGTTATTAGACAGTGATAAGGAATGAGAGGATGCGATGCCAAAGCGTTCTGGTAATAATAACGCAGTTTATAAATGTTTAATTC